GTCTGACTGTGCAAAGGAGTAAGGATGAGGGAACTGGAAGACCCATTGCTCAGAGATTTCTGTCTCCGATTGAAATGTTCCAGTACGAATACATCCCTCACCGGCAGTATTCACAAAGTCTTCATTCAGGTCAGCTTTGGTTTGGCTTTCGTTGCCGAGACGCTGCTAATGCTAATTACAAGGCTTGGACAAGGTACAAGAGGCTTCCTACTAACTATAACAGGAGCCTGCACATGCAAGCTTGTCGGCAGTCGGAGGAAGCCAAAAACTGTGCCATCTCTAGATTGCAGTCTAACACAAAACTGTCATCGGGAAGAGTGGGCTTCAAAACCAGGTGGTTCTTAGTTAACGACCAAAGATATTTCCCTGATGAAAAAGCTGACCTGTTTGATGAACACTTGGCTACCAAAATTCTAGTCTATCGTCCACTTAGGGAATTTGTTTTTCCTAGCCACTTAAACTGTGTTAGTCAGAGGTAACTATCAAGGATGTTGTAGTATATATCCTCCTTCAGTCGCTGGATAAAAAAAAAATCCGCAGGCCCTGAAAAGGTGATCCCAAGATTGCTGAGGAGATGTGCAGACCAGCTAGCATCACCTCTAACTCATAACTATCTGCACTGACTAGCAGAGTGAAAATAGCTTTCCCGGTTGAAAGATGTAAATGTAGAAATTGCAAACTACAGACCAATGACACCCCTGTCAATCACTGGCCAATTCGTGAGACAATCTCACAACAAATTACAGGATCTTTACACTACCACTTACTTCGTTTGAGCTATGTGGCACCAGTCGCAGGATGAATGCAAGATCAGTTGCGTAGTATCACTGCATACTGCTATTGCTTTAGACCGGGTGTGGCACCAAATACTCCTGGCAAAACTGAAAGCATTTTGGAGTCTTTGGTTCTGCACGACACTTCTTTAGTGATTACTTTCAATGAAGATGTCAAAGAGTCGTACTCAATGAGACAACAACCAACAAAACACTCAATCGTTGTCAGTATTTATCAGAGAAGTGCACATATTCTCAGGCACATCCATCTCCAGGTAACAGTTATATCAACCTCCAGAAAAACCAAGGGAGGTTACATTTGCTTCTCAGAAAGCACAAATGCTAGTGGTCTCTAGGAAGAGTAATGTTAATGCTGAAGCAGTGGTATGATGAGGATGATAACCTACGAGTAAAATTTAACTCCTAAATATCCATGAAGAATTAGGGGGTAAATAACAAAAAAAATAAAAAGGCACAATACCGTGACTGGAACGATACACAAATAACCCGCACATAGAAGAGAGGAGCTTACGACGACGTTTCGAAGAGAGGAGTTAACGACGACCGAAACGTCGTCGTAAGCTCCTCTCTTCTATGTGCGGGTTATTTGTGTATTATGTGGTAAAGTTTGCAAACAAGGCTGCCAAGAAGTTAAATAGACTAAGACGTATTTTATTCCTGCTCGATAATAAAGGCTACAAAACTTTATATGAGGCACAAGTGGACTCACACCTTAAGTATTCTCCCTTTCCTAGATTACGTATTTTCCCCCACCTCATCTACGACATCTGGACAGAATCGAGAACCAAGCAAGACGACTTATTTCTCGCCTGTACGGGGTCTGAATATTGATGGCTCTTCTACAGTTATGCACGAGGGCGATATTTTTAGGTACCACATTCAGTCCCACGTCACAGACAGTGACAGAACCCTTTCTAAACAACAAGACGGGCAACAAACACCAACTGCATTCTGACTACTCTTCTCGAGAACATCACTTTATCCGAGATAATTCATTTCTAGAATGACTCAGATTTGGAACATGTTCGTAAAGCAAAACAACATCGATTAAATACAGTTGACGAAATGAAGCTGCTGTCCCTGAGCTGGTTCCACCTTTGTACGTTTCATAACAATAAAAATTTAAGAAAAATAATGAAAGTTAAGACACATGTGCAACATCTGGATATCTTTATTGTAGACGTTTCGCCATCCAGTGGCTTTATCAATACAGATTCTAGGACATAATAGTATTGATAAAGCCACTGGATGGCGAAACGTCTACAATAAAGATATCCAGATGTTGCACATGTGTCTTAACTTTCATACTGTCGGTATTTTATACCTTTCTTGCACAAGAAAAATAATATTGGGTAAGGCTGTCGAATGAGGTGATGTAGATAACAGAGAACAGAAGACGACTCACATTTGTCATTTCGGCAGAGCCTTAAACATTGGAAAGATGTGGGTGGCCTTTCTGTTATGTTCAGAGCCAATATTGTCAAAGTACAACAACGAGATGAGTAGCAAACATTAAGTATCCTCTGGTAAATCCTTTCCAAGAACATCGCTTCATCTGAAATCAATTATTCCTAGAATGACTCGAGTTTGGAACATATTCGTACAGTATTATGCCATTGATGAAATAAAGTCTGGTGACCAAATGAAATTGCCAGCACACAGATGACTCCAACTTCACCCTATTTCCTGTTTGTATGTATTATAACAGTAAAAGACTGAAGTTGGTAACTGTTCTTAACTTAGCCTAACCTTGTAAAACCATTGTGTAAATAGGAGGGAGAGAGGAGAGAAAGAGGGAGAGAGAGAGAGAGAGAGAGAGAGAGAGAGAGAGAGAGAGAGAGAGAGAGAGAAGAGAGAAAGAGAAAGAGAGAGAGAGAGAGAGAGAGAGAGAGAGAGAGAGAGAGAGAGAGAGAGAGAGAGAGAGAGAGACGACTGAGGAGAAGTGGTGGCACTATTGATTATAGGCATGTGAAATATTGAAGACAAGTTCAACGTCTCTATAAAAGGCTAAAGTGAAGACAACCAAAACACGGAAGGATGGAGTTAATTAGAAGGTAAAAACACAAACCAAACCAAACAAAGACAAAGCCAAGAACTACTCATCACATGAGACAGAATTCATAAAGAAATCGAGAGAAGAGATCACGGAATCACACGAGTTGTCAAAAAATGTGGAGGAAACAAACAGATGAAGATAGTAATGAACAACATTTTACGCTGACATGTTAAAGTCACCAGAAGGATACCATGAAAGACATGAAAGGGCAAGACTGTTGTGACTATTATCTCAAAAATGATATGTGCATGATGAGAGAAAGTCGAAAAGGAGAAACTCTTAGAAGCCAGCGACTGCATAGTTTTTATTACCTTTTGGAGATGGGACGAAGACAAGAAGAAACAAAAATATATATATTTAAAGGAAGTAGACGAAAATATAAAAGAAACAAACAGTATATTGACGATAAACGACCGGAAAATTGAGAGAAATTGATAGCACGACAGTACGCGATATGAGAGAGAAAAAAAAACTACTGAGTCATATCCAAAGGTAAAAAAATGAATGGAGAGAAAGAGTGATAGCATTTGTATGGCAGATTTAATCTTAGACTCAGTTCATAGGGACACATAAGTGGGGTGCGAGACAGTACTCAATGTTACAGAAATTATTCACGATATAGAAAGCTAAACACACACACGATTTCTGCTAGTAAAGGATAAAAAAAAATTGATAAATATGAAGACGTATAGTGGAAAACACGGAACTAAGGAGAAGAGTCGAGAATGACTATATTAGAGAAAACTATAATAAAAGACAATTCGAAAATTAAGAAAATAGAAAATATTATAACAGACTCAAAGTCGATTAGTACCTAAATAAAGAAAGTAAAGAACTGTAAGGTAAATAAAACATTAAAAAAAGAAAGTAAACTGACAAAAGATGATCGGAAAGAATAAGAAGAATTTAATAGAAGCTTCAAAAAATGTTGACTGCGAAATATGGCGAGATGAAACAGGAGAAATAAACAGAGGCGAGCAGCAAACATTAGAAGCTTCAATAATAATTGTCAAAATGAAAGAACGAGAAGAGACAAAACTATTTTGGGTATTACGAGAAGAAAAAGAATCTGTACGTTCCCATAACAAGGATATGAAACTAGTTTATTCTAATATGAAACTAGTTTAGTCGAATACAAAACTGTGAAGGTGAACCCCTTTTACAGGTAGGTAAATAGGAATCGTAAATCGTTTTGCTACCTATAATAATGGCTTAGGTACCAAGTCATTATTGTTATTGTAAAAAAAAAATGTGAGACAGTATTACAGGAGACTCCAGTACAAACTGCAAGAGCAAACATGGAGAGTAGACGTGATCAAGTAGTTAGCAACATAATCAGTGAATAATAAGAGAGAAAAAATAAGGAAAGGCTGCCTGAGATGAGCGTAGGAAAAACCACAGACACAGCCACAGAAACACACCACACACACACACACACACACACACACACACACACACACACACACACACACACACACACACACACACACACACACACACACACACACACTTCCTCAGACATTCATGGAAGAGGGAACTGACAGGAAAACCAGTACAGAAATGATGACTATGTAGCAACAAAATGCAAGGAGGCAGAGAGAGGTTTGTTCCCAAGGGATACAGAAATAATGGGAAAAACATAACGAGTCCTTGGTCACCCAAAGGTGTAGGAGGTCAAAAACTAGTGTACTAAGAATGAAAAGGTACAGAAGACAGAGAACTCAGGAAAATAAAGAAATCAGCCGAAGAGCAGAAATGAATATGCCAGATAAGAAGGGAAGCTAAGAGACAATATGAAAGACATAGCATCAAAATAAAGACTGGACCCGAAGCTGTTGTACAGCCACATCAGGAGAAAAACAACATCAAGACCAGGTAATCAGACTGAGGAAGGTGATGGGAACTCACAAGAAACGACCGAGAGGTTTGTCAGGACTCAACACAAGATTTAAAGAGGTATTTACAGTGAAAACCGTAGGACTCCAAGAAATCAGAACAGTGGGGGCACACCAGCAAGTGCTGGATGAGGTACATATAACCAGGAGAGGTGAAGAAGCTCTATGCAACTTGACACCTCAAAGGCGTGGGACCAGACAACATCTCTCCGTGGGTCCTTAAGAGGAGAAGAGATATTGTGTGAGCCTTAACAA